ATCTGCATAGTTTTGGTACAATTTGAATTATTTTGATAAGTTGATTCGAATGGTTTCAAAATTATGTAAATCTGATTATTAGATCATGAGAAATTTGGCTATAAAAATTGCTCCAAGGAGGTGTTTAATTTTAGAAGAATATGATATTTTCAGAACTTTGTACTAAAGCAAATGCAAGTTGAATTCTTTGCATATGCTGGTTAATATCTCTAAATAGTTAGCATATGTATAAACAACAGAACACAGTTCTAAACTAGCAGTTACAACCTAATTTCAACATAATTTACTTGCCTATAGTTCTAGAATACACATCTCTAATTTATTAGTATAAAATTCTAAATCTTTATACTTTAGTATAGTTTTATGGTAAGATCTATTTTTATAATATATATTTTGTTAATATAATAGTAATTAAAGAAAAAATATTGGTATTTTAAGTCTATGTAACTTAAGAGTCTAATACTTATTATTTAAATAATAAAGGAGAGAGATAAGTTTATTAACAAATGATTTACCAGCTATATTGTGTGTTTTATATTTCTAACCAAGGTTATACTATATAAAAGTGCTAAAAGATCATTGTATAAATGATCATTATAATTTGTTGTTGGTTTTTAATTAGGCAAAATTTTTTTGGATACTGTATTTATCATTTCATTAAAAGCATTATATGTAGAAAAAACAATGCTTGAAGAGGATTTAGAATATTCATCTTGAATATTAAACCTAATATGTAATACATTTTGTTCTTTTTGTATATACAGCTTTAAACTTTCATTTATACTAGACTCAACATTGTGCTATGTATTTGTACTTTTATCTAAATCTTAACTTTAATATTCTCTCTAAAAACATATTCACTATCTGCTTAATAAAGTAAAAATTCAAAAGTAAAACTTTTATTTACTTCAAATAATATAGCTAAAAGAATTGTTTTGTTATCTCATCTTACTGTTACAAAAGAAAAAATTATTTTTTTTGTAACACATATACTAGTATTACAGAAATTGGCAGTAAATTTAAAATTAAAAGACAATATTATTAATTAACTCAAATACAAAATACAGGGTGTTGTCTAAAGCCAGATAGTATTTTATATTTGAGTGTTGCTAAAAGAAAAAGTGTCTCTATTTTTTAGTAAATTATTGATTTAATAATAATTTATTAAAATATAGAGACCCTTTTCTCTTGGTGTCACTTATGATTTTAATTTATTAATTAATTATAGTAATCAATTTAAAACTACTTGGGCTTAGACTTTCTGAATTTTCTGAATATAGTAAGCATATTTATTATAAACTGGTTTATTTATTAAAGCAGGAAATTGATATTTTCATGAGGTATTTTTTATTTTTGTAATATTAATATATAATTTTATTTATTTATTTATTTATTTATTATTTTATTTTATTAAGTGTTTAATTTTTGAAGAAAGATCTGTAAGTGGAGGGAGATAATATTAAACAAGGTTTTAATTTCAAATAGCCTTATATAAAATTTAAGCTATTATATAGAGATGATTTTAGAAATTTGTAAAACACACTAAATGGCAAAATAAACAGTTAAAATGAAATGGAATTATTTCACAGTATCATGATTTATTAACTGAAGAAAAAATTGCTCTTATATTTTATCATCCAAATATATTAGCATCAGATGCTTAAGAATTACAATATTAAGTATTTATAAGGTTGTGCATTATAGAGTGGTAAGCACAGTCTAATAATAATTTCACAATTTAAAATTCTTCCTGATAGAAAAATTATTTTTATAAAATAGTCTCAAAAAAATAATTAAGGAAAATTAGATAATAATAACAATACAACTAGTATTCCAATTCTACCAGATCCTATTAAAAGATCTGAACCTGTTTATGATACCTGGCTTTATTTTTCTAAATAACTTAATAATTGTATTACACCAAATTTGCATATTCAATTGACAAAAAATCTAATTAGTAATTGTCAAAAATCTGTTATTAGAAAAATACTGTTTTTAAATATATACATATTTGATATTAATCAATATCAATTTTTTTAGGAGATATATAGTACAAAGATAAAAAGCTTGAAAATTATATGATAAATACTATATTGAGAAAAATTTACTAAACCTGTAATATTAATATTGAAGGTCAAAATATTGTTGACTATTCTGGTTGTGCAACTTTAATTACATATTTATATCAACTTAAAATACCTAATTCAACTTTAATGTCATTTACTAGATATAAAAGTAAAAATTTTGCTAGAATTTATTCATATCCTTCTAAAAGGCAAAAGAAAGATTGTTTATTCATAGTAATTAATTCTAGCATTAATAATATTGAAATAATTTATATTTAAAATTTGATGATATTTTAATTAGTGTTAATAATTTATTACTTTACTGAAACTTGCAAAATTAAGAAGTAGACATATTACTAATATATAGTAAATGTATAGTAATAATAAAATAATTATATAGTAATCTTAAAGCTAAAAAAATTAACAGTAGTAGGCATATTGCTAATATATAGTTAATGCAAGAAAATTGCTACTACCAAATAACTATATAGCCACTTTATTATTACTTTAAAGTAGTTTTGAAGTTGCTAAATTAGAAGTTTCTGTAAAGTACTTAAAAACTTGTTTTTTAGATTAGCCCAAACATACAATCTATTGAACCATATAGCCAAAATAATAAGAATCTGGTAATTTACAATTTTTTTTTATATATTATATAAATACTAACTTAATACCTATTCTTAAATTGAATTAGATATACAAACTTTTGGATTAAGTGATCAAGATATTAATAACCCAGTAATACAAAATATAAGTTTTTATTTTATTTTATGTTTTTTTTGATTTATATAAATATTCAAAATATTAATTTTCTTAAGTATGTCCTTTTTTTTTAGATAAATTCTGATCTTCAAACCTGTACAACATTATCAGTTCTTCAAACTAACTCTGCCATTCAAATATGCCCTGATATTTATGGTTATAAAAATCATTATCCTAATATGTTCAAAAAAAATTCAACACTTGGAGAGGCTGTCAACCCTTGAAACTGAAAAAGGAAAAAAAAGAAAAAATTGCAAATTGTTAATAATCATTACATTATGGTTAGTACTGTAATTTCAAATAAATTTATTTTGTATGATATGTATATGTAATATAGCCATTATTATAAAATAGATTTTATAATTTATTGCATGGTGCAATACATTGCACCCCTATAATAATTAGAGTTAGGGTGCATCTCTATAATAATTAGGTTAGGGTTAGTGTTAGTGTTTGGGTTAGGGTTGGTTAGGTAAAATTGCGAGAGGATCATTTTTCATTAGTTACACAACAGGCCACCCTAGTAAAATTTTGAGATATAGTGGGGTCGCAATACATTGCAGGTGCAATAAAAAATAAAACCCTTATAAAATATATAAATTCGCTTATTAAATATCTAAAAAATAATTATATTATTAACTGGTGCAGATAATAATGGCCTGAAGAATAAATAATAGTTATATACATAGAACTCAGTGTATAACTGATTTACACTCTGCAATCTTGATATAATAACCAGGTTATAAACAAAATAACTGCCCTTAGAGATATTTACTTCCATTGGATAAACAGATATTAGACAAAATTTCAAGTCAAATACAACAGCCTTTCAGAATAAGCTTTCATTATTATAATTTATTTACTAGAGTATTCTTAAGTGCCTTATCAATAGTCGAAATATGTCTGGAGATTAAATTTTAATTAGTGAAATATTTTAACCAATCAAACGCACTTATTATTAAGTACATACCTATGTAACAAGTAGCTATGATTAAGATTAAGATCCAGAGCGTAATACATAATTTTTGCTGATAAGAAAAATATCATGCCTCAGTTGTGACCAAAGCATGTCTAGTGTTAGTTCCTTGTTTGTGATGACGTTTTAGTAAAATACAGTAAGCTTCATCTCACATTCAAATTTGTTAGCGCGAAATAACATAAAGGATGTATAAACTTGATAGCTCATCCATATTTCCCATTATTCCCATTAATAATAGTTCATTAAGTATATCCTTTATGATTAGGGTTAGAAATCCAATAGTTAGGAAATTCAATAAATGCAAAGGAGAAATTTTGTAAGAATAAGGTAATCATTTAACGGGAATGAAGTATAAATGATTTCTTAGTAATAAATAGACCTTTTTTGAAAAGCTTGTCAAACGAAACGACAGAGCGATCATTATTGCATCAGATCATTTTATTGGATCACATGTTCAATATTTCAACCCAAAATATTATTTTATTTCAAGACAAGTTTTTAATGAATTAATTAGTTAATTTTTTGAAACACGAAAGACACTTGCAAGATGTTGTAAAGCCTTTATTTCATAATCTAATAATTGCTGAACTTACAAATACTGTACAAATTTGAAACTTCAAAAGAACGATTTAAAAGTCTTTCCGCTATAGAAGTTAGACGTTCTAATCTGATGTGTGTAAGATGTGTCATTTCGTAGTATTAAATACAAAAATAGAGAACAGAAAAAAATATATATAATATAATGATAATGTAATGTTCTTTATTATCGAAATTTATATTGACTACTATTTCTAAAATTCTATTTCTACTAAAGTTGTTTTGAGATTTAAATTCCACTCAAATGATCCAGAATCTACTTAAGTGAATTCAAAATCCATGGAATCCCGAATCCACCTACAACATAAATATACCATGAACTTTAAAATGTTAATCATTTATCTTCAACGTCCATGGAGCAAATACAAACTTTTTAAATTCCACAACCTAAGGTATTTCTTTGATTGATTACAACCTTGTTTACCTATTACTGATTCAATGTTATTGTTGATCTACTACATAGAAAAAAGATTGATTTAACAAGTTAAAAAAACCCGAAGAAAAAGTTAATAACCTATATAGTAATTTAATTTTTAACTTATCGATAGTTTTTAAAAAATAAATATTCCTAATAACGTAGTTTAGCTTTCTAATACTTAAATTTTCTTGATAAATTTATAATATTGCTTAATAGATTTATAATTTTCTTGAAAATTTTTATAAAATTTGTTATAATCTGAAAGTTTTTTTGAAAATTTTTTTGTATAATCAGAAGAAAGATCAGAAGAAAGATCACTTTCTTCATACTTTGATACATTTAGTGGGCTAGGTGATCTGCCATCGGATGCAAAGCTTTCATGATCTAATTTATTTGGTTTTTCTTCCCAATGGCTTGAGAAATGAGCACTCACTGGAGATATTACTAATGGAATTGCAAGGCCAATTCCTATTCCTGTAGCAAGTGAAGCACCAGTTACTGGACCAATTTTTATTGTATTTTTACCAATTTCTTTAGCTACGATGGGTAAAATATTATATCCACAAGCTGCTGCTGTTCCTATATAAGATGTTAATAATCTATAAGCATTTGCCATGTTAGAATTAGTATCTGATTTTTTAGAATCTGTTCTTGCAGTACTATCAGTGGATTTAGTGTCTGATTCCTTGGAACTTGTAACTGCTCCTTCGTCAGTACAATTAGTATCTGATTTTTTAGAATCTGTTCTTGCAGCACTATCAGTGGATTCAGTGTCTGATTCCTTGGAATTTGTAATTGTCCCATCAGTGCAATTAATATCTGATTTTTTAGAATCTGTTCTTGCAGCACTATCGGTGGATTCAATGTCTGACTCCTTGGAACTTTTAATTGCTCCTTCATCAGTGCAATTAGTATCAAATTCTGCTGAATCTGTAATTTCTACCGTACTTATTGTACTGTCAGTAGATTCAAAATCAAATTCTTTAGAACCTTTAAATCCAGAATATGATATTTCGTTAATATATATTCCACGGTACTTTGGTCCATTTTTTCCTCCACGGCCAGGTGATCCATTTTTTCCATCTATGCCTTTTCTATGATTTTCTTCAAAAATAGTAGGTTTTTCTAGTAAACTATCAAATTCTATATGTTTAGTACCATGGCTTCCTGTATTACCACCCATTCCTCCTCGCCCAGCATCTCCACCTTCTTGTCCTGGGTTATAGGCTTCATATATTTCTTTATATTTTTCATTAAAAGTTAAAAAAAATTTAAAGCCTTTTTCTACCGTATCTATAACACCTTTTTCTACTATTTCTTTAAGAGCTCCTGATATTTTTTTCCGTGAAACTAAAGCTGATTCTTCTCTATCTTCTATCATTTTTTTTCCAGAATCAAAACCACACAGTCCGTCAGCACCATTACCACCGTCTTGCCCTTTACCACCATCACCACCACTAATATCAATAGTTAATGAAGAGGGATTAACAAAATTTCTTCCTTTGGCATAGAAATGACCTCCGTTTCCACCAGGTAACCCAGGTAAACCATCTTTTCCATGCATTTCTGGACTTGCCTTTCTTTTAATTCTAATTGAGTCATTTATTTCTTCTATATTAATTTTGTCGCTCGTTTTTTCTTTAGTAATCTCAATGCTTGCTTCTAGTTTATTGATAATTTCGTAATTTATTCCTTTTTTACTCATTTCATCATACAAGTCTTGTTTGCTGATTATTTCTTTAACACCATTACTTTCCTCATCTTTATGAATTCTGTCGCTTTTTTCGACTTTATTAATGTTCTTATTAATTTTTTTATTTGCATCTTTAATCTCATCATTTGTTTTGTTTTCATTTATCCCATCATATACGCTAATTACTTTATCATCACTCTCTTTATAGATTTTCTTGCTTACTTCTTTTTCGTTTGTTCCATCACACGCATCTTGGTTGTTGATTTTTTCTTTTATTCCATCGTCAGCTTTTTTTGAATTATGTGAAGGACCTGTTTCACCTTTCAGATTAAATGTTCTTTTACCAATAACACGCAATTGAGGGGATATGAATGTCAGAAATACTCCTGGTGCAACTATATCTTTATCAATAAATATACTATTCAAACTGTACACATTTATCTCTTTGATTGTGTTAGAAATATTTTTAATATCCTCGGTTCCAATAATTGTGCCCTCGAAAGTTAACACTTGCCCTTCGTCATTTGTTTTAAGTTCAGGTTTAGACTTTAATAACCCTATAACATCAATAAGTTCAGATATAAAATGATACCACCCATTTGTATTCCCTTCGATGGTAATTGATTCTGCCTTTACAACTTTAATAAAGTCTAATTGAAAAATTTTTTTTGAAAATTCATCCTTAAGATCATTCCTCTTTAAACGGTTAATAATTGAGAGAATTTGATGAATATTATTTTCAAATTGCTGTAATTCCTTATCATCTGAAATAATGTTTTCCAATTCGTCAATAAATTCATTTAAAGATTCTCTTAATTTTTCAACCGTATCGTCATGACTATCTATAAGACTTTCAATGTAGTTCAGAAGTGCAGGATAAAATTTATTCGACATAAAAATTTCTATATCTTTATGGAACTCTCCTATTAGATTTTTGATAAAATGCATCGTGACCGGCTCTAAGGAAAAACTAGGTTTAAGGTTTTCAACATAAGAAATTTTTTCTATACAATTGAAGATTTCCAATTTATCTTTATCAGAAATTAATCCATCTTCACGAGGTGTGTTAAAAAAGGCAATTTGACTTCTATTAGAGGATAAAACATTGAGTATTTTTCTTTGGGATAAACTAAAATTTTCTTGTCTATCTCGTTCTATAAGGATTTTATATAATATGTTTTTCACTTTTCTCAAATCAAGGTTATTGTTTTGCGTTACCACCAAGCATAATCCCTTAACCAAATCAATGTTATTTTTAAAAATTTCACCTAGGTAATGAATAATGTTTAAAAGCTTCTTTTTGCTTTTCTCAATAATTGTAGCTTCAGAAACTACAATTAAGACTTTCAATTTTTTGATATTTTTAGTTAACATATAAATTGAATAAGCATTTATAATATTTTGTACATCACCGCGTGAATCTCCAAAACCAGGACAATCCCAAAATTCTCCTTGATTTAATGGTATAGAAGTTTGTGAAATAGAATGATTATAAATATTTATCTTATTTAAGGGATCACCGATATAAGTTTTAATGCCGCTATAAATTTCAAATCCACCGCAATCGATATTTTCTTTACTAAACAAGGAATTCCCAATTAAGTAGTTGAATAAAGTAGTCTTTCCTTCTCTCGTTTCACCAACGATTATAACCGCATTTTCTTGTTGAGAAATTTTTGCGTCTATTTTTTTAATATTTTCTAGAATGTGTGGTTTTATTTTTTCAATATCAAATTGATTTGTCGATGTCATTTTTAATAATAATTGATTATTAAATTTATTCAATTGAATTGTTTAAAAATTAAAGGACAGGATTTCTTTTAAAAAAAAAAAAGTTAAATTGCAGGTCGTTTAGTTTTATATAACAATATCTACTCTAAATACGTGATAACAATGTAACCTTTTGCGATATAACTCGTATAGAAAAAATCTTATCAGTATGAGAAAAAAATTTCTGTGAGAAAAAAAGGACAATCTCATGCGCGAGAACAATATTTCTGCTTATTTAACCTCATTGCAAAAAAAACAAAAAAACAAATAACTTTATAGTTTCGAATAAAATCAAAGTTACAATAATTTATTTACGGAAGGAACAGGACCTGAAGGAGTTGTGCATATATTGGGATTTCATATATGCTAAAATGGACATAATTACTTATAATCAAATTGTTTTTAGATCATTACAATTCTGTAGGATAGTTCACACGGCATGCAACTAATATATTTGATAGATATTCCTCTGATTATTGATTTTATCAGCCCTTCTTGATGGCTTTGTAAGTATGTACACATGCGCGTACAGGTTATACGCGTGCATTTACAGGTTTGCCAAATTAGGACACAATGGTGATTAAACTAAGACATTTCGTTACTCTATTATGCAGGACAGGTAAGGTAGGCACCTCCTTTCAAAGATAACTCACATACTATTGAACAGATATAGAATGGGAATTGGCCAGGGTGTAGTCGACAAGTTATCGATATTGATATCAATAACTTGTCGTTTGTGTTTTATATTTACCAGCTTGTATAACAGAACTTTGGGGCCGCCCTGGCTAACTCATTAGATGGTAACTTGCTCAACAGCTCTGGGATATTTACAAGTTTTGTTAATACTCATGTTAAAATTTACTTTGGTTTCCTGGCCTCATATGCATGGATTTTTTTTTTTCTAAAAAAAAAAACGACATCAACTTTGTTCTTTTGTCATATGCTAATGTAATCATGCATCAACGCATACAGTAGGTTATCGGCACTTGTATTTTTTTTTATCGCCCAATATTGCCTTATTATAACGATAAGTCCTGTAATCAGGATTGCAAACACGATCATGCTGTAAGTATTATGTTAATTGGTCCACATTTATGTATTTTGCATCACTATTCCTGGTATAATCAGCCGCGGAGCCTATCGCCACTTACACCACCAATTAACTTAGTAAAACAAATGCAATGACACTAACCTATCGCTAGTTCCCAAGTCACTGAAATAATGGAAAAGACAATAGTCTTTCTGTGATAGAAACATATCAGTATTCTCGCATTATTATTAAATATTAATTACTTCGGTCACCCAAATTACCCGTGACATCAGAACCTCGTGACGTCGATCAGATATTGAAAATCCGCATCCCGATATCTCTTACTCGTGACGCCATCAAGATCATCGTTAAGAATATTAAATCACCGATCGCCGCCAGAAGTCGTGATTACGTAACACGTGATATCGTTACGAATCTTAACGGTCTAAGGTTGAATATTAAAATAACGATCAAACCAGTTATCTCTGTTACGTCACACGTACCCCGAAGTCGATGATATCTTCGACATTGAAAGAACAAGAGACATTAGTATAAGGATTATTAAAACAA